AGGCCCCTGGGTGGGGCCCGACTAGTAACCAATGCCAAATCCGGCGAAACAACTGGCCGCTGTGATACAATTGTATAATAATAATAATAATCCGGGATACAGGAAGTGAGGAATCTACCGATCTGCAGATGAGTTCCTTAGCCACATTGCTTCTAAAGAGGAGAGGTTCCCTTCGCTGATCCGCTGCCCTCTGCATGGGTGGGGTAATCTCTCCCAGCAGGGCAGGGGGTCAATCCCCAGGGACAGGAAGGGGGTCTTCTCTGTGCTTGACCCCAAAGCAATGGGGTGGCTTTATTCAGGGCTGCCTACTTTAGGGGCAGAACCTTGACTTACGGCCACAATGGAGCCGAAAACGTCTGTTGCTAAGCAAGGCAGTGGTTAAGTGAGTTTTGCTCCGTTTTATGAGCTTATTTGCCGACGTTGTTAAGTGAGTCTCTGCAGTTGTTAAGTTAGTAACAGGACTGTTCAGGGAACCTGGCTTCCCCACTGACTCTGCTCGTCGCAAAAAGGGGATCCGTGAGCCCGGGAATCTGCGCCCGTCATAAATACAAGACAGTTGCCACGTGTCTGAATGTGGATCAGGTGACCACGGGGATGCTGCAGCGGTCGTAAGTGTGAAAACGGTCACAAATCACTTTTTGTAACTTTGAACGGTCACTAAACGAACGGTTGTAAGTTGAGGACTTCCTGCATTGGTAGACCACACAGGAAACTCAACCAGGTAAACTAACTGTAAACCCAAAATTGAGACACTTGGCATCTGACTCGTATTTATGACGGCCGCAGTGTCCCGGGGTCCTGTGTGATCCCCTTTTTTCACCCTGCGGACAAGCAAGGTCATTGGGGAAGCCAGATTCACTTAACAACCGTGTTAGTCACTTATCAACTGCCGTGATTCACTTAACGACGGTGGCAAGAAAAGTCGTAACTCGGAGCAAAACTCAGTTAACAAACGTCTCACTGAGCAAGAGAAAGTTTGGCCTCAATTGTGGTGGTTAAGTCAAGGTCTACCTATACTGGTACTCACACTTACGACCGTTGTAGCATCCCCACGGTCACATGATTAAAATTCAGGCACCTGGCAAACTGACTCGTATTTATGACGGTCGCAGTGTCCCGGGGTTGGGTGATCCCCTTTTGTGACCCTCTGACCAGCAAAGTCGATGGGGGAAGCCGGATTCACTTAACGACTGTACGATTCACTTAACAACCTTCGCAAAAAAAATGATGAAAGTGAGTGATTCACTTTAGGACTGCGTGGCTTAGCGACGGACGACCCAGGGACAGCTGTCATACGTTGAGGACTAGCTGCACCATTATGAGGCCACAGATGCACCCTCTTATTCCTTACCTTCTGCACTGACCGGCTACGCCCGAACTCCTCCAGCTGCCGACGGAAACCCAGGTTGGGGTTCGCCACCGGACGGACGGCCTTGACCGCTTCGAGGGCCTCCAGCCAGCCAAGCTGCGTCACCGCCATGAGGTAGGCCAAGACGATGGTGGTGCTGCGGGAGATGCCAGCTAGGCTGGAAGGCGAGTTGAAGGACAGGATTAGAACCCAGAACTGTCCCGCCCTCGGACATCCACTCTCTACCAGCTTCCCTGCAGAGAGACCTGAGTGACAGGGCACCCCAAAAGTCTCCGGTTGTTCCCACTTCGTTCTCGGTTGACTTTGGCTTGGTGTAATGTGTGAACACGGTCATGTTGGCTTGTAAATCACGGCTTATGGGTTAGTAGAATGCGCGAACCCAGCCAGGCGGGTTACGGTTAAATATTATACAATTAACCAGTGGAACAGCTTGCCACCGGAAATCATGGGCACTCCATCGCAGGAGGTTTTTAAGAAGAGACTAGGCAGCCACTTATCTGAAATGGAATAGGTTCTCCTGCTTCAGCAGGGGGCTGGACTAGATGACCTCCAAGGTCCCCTCCAACTCTTGTTATTCTGTCATTCTGTAAGGGTCTCCTGCTTGAGCAGTGGGCTGGACTAGAAGACCTCCAAGGCCCCTTTTAACTCCNGAAAGAAGAGAGGGAGGAAGGAGGGAGGGAGGAAAGAGGTGAGGAAGGGAGGGAGGGGAGGGAAAGTGGAAGGAAGGAAGAAGGAGGGAGGAAGAAGGGAGGTAGGAAAGAGGGGAGGGAGGGAAGAAAGGAGGGAGGGGGAAAGTGGAAGGAAGGAAGGAAAGAAGGAAGGAGGAAGGGAGGAAAAAAGGGAGAGAGGAAGAAAGAAGAGAGGGAGGAAGGAGGGAGGGAGGGAGGAAAGAGGGGAGGAAGAGGTGAGGGAGGGAAGAGGGGAGGGAAAGTGGAAGGAAGGAAGGAAAGAAGGAAGGAGGGAGGGGGAAAGGAGGAAGGGAGGAAGAGGAAGGGAGGAAGAAAGAAGAGAGGGAGGAAGGAAGGAGGGAGGAAAGAGGTGAGGGAGGAAGGCAGAAGGGAAGGGAGGGAGAATAGAAGGAAGAAAGAAGAAGAGAGGTAGGAAGGAAGAAGGGAGGGAAGGAGGGAAGTGGGAGGGAGGGAGGAAAGAAAGAAAGTTATAGGCTGGCTTTTCAAGCAGAATATTCTTCGAAATCAACATCACAATACATTTAAAACACCAGACTGCATGTTTATTCATTAATTCCACAGTCAAAATGTCACCTTTTCCGACATGTGGGCTGGGGAATTCTGGGAGTTGAAGTCCACACACCTTCAAGGGCCCACGGTTGAGAAACCCTCCACATACATTCAAGACGTAACACCAACCAATGCTTCTTTGCCAAAACCAAGTTTTAAGGCAAGAAAATGCAAATATTCCTCCCTCTGGACCCTCATCCTCAGCAACCTGGTGTTTTTTTTAAAAAACCTGCTGTGTAGGTGAGCAGTGATCTCTTTGAGTGGGGATCTGTTCTGACGATCCTTTACAGGATCTGAAGAGATCCCACCCACAGGCTTACCTTCTCTGACAAGCCATGGGCTGCGGCGGCTTCAAATCCTGGTGCCAAGGGACATTTCAGCTGCAGAGGTGAGTCTGTCCCACTTTCCATCTCTGGAAACCACAACAACAAAGACACAAAAGGTAGATTCACACAACCCCTCCGACTCCAGGTGAAGTTAACACCAACCTGGGTTTAATAATAGGTTTAATTTTTTTGTGAATAAATGGTTTGGGAGAAACACGCCAGAGTTTGCTGCAGAAAAATCACATCCAGAAAGCAGACACAGATCACTGATTCAGCTGGATTCATTAACTTCTTTATATACATAAAAACAGATTAATAAATGTACAATACCAGCAGGTCATTCTTCAGTTTCAGATCACAGCAGCAGACCAGTTTCAGTTTTAGTTCTCAGCACAGACTCAGATCTGTTTAAGCTCCCATTGGCCGACTCAGCTGTTACGCCTACTCATTGGCTGACCTGGTTCCCACGTCTCTCCCAGCCATGAATATTTTAACAACACAACCATTCCTTCTGCGTTCTGCGTGAACCTGGGAGTCATCCACATGAAAACATCATTGTGGTTGTGAGAACCCAGCAATTCTTGAACCTGAACGTTGGGCGCTATCTAACAAAAGGCAGGGGGTTGGACTAGAAGACCTCCAAGGTCCCTTCCAACTCTGTTATTCTATTCTATTCTGAAATGAAATTCAAGGGTGAAAAAAAGTCAGGTTCTACATTTAGGCAAGAAAAACNTATTCTTCTATTCTATCCTATCCTATTTCATTCCATATTCTAATCTATTCCATATTCTATTCTATTCCATATTCTATTCTATTCTATTCTATGCTATTCTATTCCATATTCTATTCAATTCTAAATTCTTATTCTATTCTATTCCATATTCTATTCAATTCCATATTCTATTCCTATTTCCGTTCCAATAATCTATTATCTCCTCTTCTCTTCTCATTCAAACACAGCCGTCCTTGAGCCACTCTTTCCTCTGGCCGAGTGTCCTTGAGGTCTTATCTCCAGCAAAGCTTATCTCCACAAAGCACTCTGGAATTCCCCCTTGACTCCTGCCATATAGCTTCCCTCCCCCCTTCCCCCCTCCCACGAAGGCCATGGCATTGAAGCAAGAGGGAAGCAGGAGAGGTGGGGGGGCAGATCTGGCCAAATACTTTTTTCTGGCTGTTCCCTTGAAAATGGAGGCAGCCTGGGAAGATTCTTGTAAACATGCAAGCAGCAATAAAGAATCAGTTTTGGTTTCTGGCCGACCAATCTGGAACTACGGGCACTTGTCCCAGATCTGAAGCTGCTATTTTCATCTTTAGGGAAGCTGCGTTTCAGAAGAAAAAATCCAGAGCAGAAACTTCCTACTCAGAGGCAGGCTCTGTGGTTAGGATATACAACTCCCCCTGCCCCCCCCACTTCCCGGTTTCCAAAATAACAGCTGCTAAGTGTGTTTTAAAGCCATGGGACGAAGACCTGTGAGATTTTAATTGTGGTCTCCGCGGTGCGAATTGTCTTCATTTTAAGAACGCTTCCATTTACGTAATAATTAATTAAGTTCAATAAAGAAAATAAAGGTAAATTCACCACCCAGAGTCCCTGGTTGGGATGGGCAGAAATTCAAATTGGGGGGGGGGGAGATAAAGAGAAAAGAAAAGCCGAGAGGGAGGGAGAAAAAGGCAGGAAGATAAAGGAAAGATGAAAGGAAGGAAGGAAGGAAGGAAGGAAGAGGGGANCCAACGGAGTTGTAATTCCTGTGATTAAAGAGTGGCAAATAGCCAAGCCTGTGTCTGCGTTACTCACAGGCCGGAGGAGGGGGGGGTCAGAACAGTACCCTTCCTTCCTTCCTTCCTTCCTTCCATCCATCCATTTCTCCACCCTTCCTTCCTTCCCTTCCTTCCCTTTTCTTCCTTCCTTCCATCCACCCATTCCTCCACCCTTCCTTCCTTCCTTCCTTCCTTCCTTCCTTCCTTCCTTCCTTCAGGGTACAGTGGCTACAATGCAGTTTTTCAGACTAACTCACTTCTCACTGCCAGCAGTTCAATCCTGATTGGCTCAAAGTGGACTCAGCCTTTTGTCCTTCCAAGGTGGGTAAAACGAGGACCCAGATTGTTAGGGGGAAAGAGGCTGACTCTGTAAACCCCTTAGAGAGGGCTGTAAAAGCACTATGAAGCGGTATATAAGTGCTATTACTGGTGTTATTGCTCTTCCTTCCTTCCTATCCCTCCCTCCCTCCTTCCTTCCTATCCCTCCCTCCTTCCTTCCTTCCTTCCTTCCTTCCTTCCTTCCTTCCTATCCCTCCTTCCTTCCTGTGGTGGCACAGTGACTAAAATTCAATTTTGCAGACTAACTCACTGCCAGTAGTTCGATCTTGACCGGCTCAAGATCAATTCAGTCTTCCGTCCTTCCCAGGTCAGAAAAATGAGGACCCAGATGGTTGGGGGCAAGAGGCTGGCTCTGTAAACCTCTTAAAAGGGGCTGTAGAAGCACCGTGAAGCGGTATGCAAGTCTAAAGGCTATAGCTGTTTTTTTTACAAATAACTCAAGGCAATTGCACCTATCGTATCCTGCCCTCAAAACAGCTCTCCATAATTTTCCAATCAGAGACGAAGAGGTGGCTTCGTTTTCACCTTACCCTGGAGGTGTGCACTGCTCATATTCTGGGGGAGAGGAGGCCCCCCTGCGTCACCATGCCTTTTCCCATCAGGCTCTGCAGATGGTTTGTCCTGGAGATAAAAGGAAATAAAAGTGGTTGAAATTGGGGAAGGCGGCACCTAAATGCGCAGTCTGGATTTTTTTTTCTGGAGGGGGGGGGTCAAGCTATTCGAAAGCCGGACAAGGAATAATGGATGGAAACCTATCAAGAAAAGATGTTGAGATTCTAGAAAGAGTGCAGAGAAGAGCAACCAGGATGATGAGGGGAATGGATGCTAAAACTTATGATGAACGGTTGCAGGAACTGGGCCTGGCTAGTCTAGGGAAGAGAAGGACCAGGGGAGACAGGAGAGCATCTTCCAGTAGTCGAGGGGCTGCNCAACTATTCTATTCTATTCTATTCTATTCTATTCTATTCTATTTGCATTCCTTTGTCTATTCCTCTCCTATCTCCTGTTTCAACAGTTTTTCTGGTCCTTTTCTGGCTCTTTATGGTCTTTCAAGGTTGCCCGTCCATTTTTTAACATTTCCAGCCATACCTCAAACACCCCACTCTTCATAAACCCCTCTTGGGGGTCCCAGGCATATTCTGCACCCCAGGCCCACAAACCTCGCCCCCTCTGCCCCCCGCCACCCCCATTTTCCTACCTACCAATGAACGAGGCAGCTTCCTCCTTGCAGGCGACAGGAATGGATGAAACGGATGCATTTCTTAAAATGCTTCTTGCTGGACGGGGGAGACAATTGGGAGGAAGCAAACCGCGATATTTGAAAAGGTTTGTGACGCTTTAAAAGAAAACTCTTTACAGCTAGTCCTCAACGTGCAACAATTCACTTCAGCAGCGCTGAAAAAAAGTGACGGTTGCAGTGTCCCCAGGTCATGTGATCATCTGGAGCCCTTTAAACATGCGCGGACTTCGACTCCCAGAATCCCCCAGCCAGCTAAGCTGGCTGGGGGAATTCTGGGAGTCAAAGTCCGCCCGTCTTAAAGGGCTCCAGAACTGAAATTGAAATCCACATATCTTGGAAGTTGAGAGTTCAAGTCCTCATGTTTTAAAGCCAGCCATAGCTGGCTGGGGAATTCTGGGAGTCGTAGTCCAACGCCTCTTAAAATGGCTGAGGTTGAGAGCATTGGAGCAACGCAAAGAACCAGAGTCTCCGATCTGCTCTACCTCCCTCTGACCTGCATTATGACGGAATCAACCTGGATTGTGTTTTAGGAGTGGCGCGGTGGCCTAGGGGTGGCGCTCGCGCCTCACAATCAGGAGGCCGCGAGTTCCATCCCAGGTAGAGGCAGCTATTTTTCTCTCTCTGGGCACAATGTGAATATATATCTGCTGAACAGAATTCCGCATTGGCGACAAGAAAGGCATCCGGCCATTAAAACTGCTTGCTCCATTCAGATGCTCAGACTCCACCCCACAAGGGATTATGGGGTAATTAAAGAAGATGCTGAATCTAGATTATGTTTTAATGGACCCCGCTATCTGTTCCTCGTTAAAAAGAACACAACATGGCTGAATCTATATATATAAAAATGGCTGTTTGTGTGTGTGTGTGTGTGTGTGTTTGTGTGTGTGTGTGTGTGTGTGTGTTCCAGCATAACTCTGGAACGCCTCGAGCAATTTCAACCAAACTTGGTACACAGATGACTTCCTCTCTGGAAACAAAAACTGTGGGGGGTAAGACATCCCTAACACCCCTCTGGGTGTATGTGCTGTTAAGATACAGCCTGTTGTGCCTTAAAATGGCTTCTACCATACGGCCTTAAAATGTGGCTCCTACTCTACAGCGCTGTGGAGTTGCCATGGAAACGGCTTCACGGTACTCCACAGGGGGACTCCCTCTGGTAAGTGGGGGAAATCCAACGTTAGAAATTGCGGCGACATTCAGGGAAGGAGGGTTGGAGTAAATAAATACCCCGGCAGCGCCGGGTTATCAGGTAGTAAATAAATCAATACTTACATGTTGGCCTCAGGTGTGTCCGGCAGGACGATCCGAAGATAAGTGATTCCCTAGAAGAGAACATCAATAGCGTTGAGGAACATCTCCAGAACCTGAAGTCGACTTCTGAAGTCCTGCAGAACTTCTCACTTTGATATCTCTGAGTTCAATATTACCTTGTCACCTCTAGCTAGCATTAGTGCGGGGAAAGGGAGCTGGGGATGATGGGAAGCATGATCCCATCAGAGAAATGGGGATCCCATCATGGGGATTGAAAATAATACCAGTCCCTTTCTCGGTTCTCCACAGCTTGCAACTGTGGTAGTCCTTGACAGCAGATTCAGACAGTGAAGAGGTTGGGGAGGAACCTGGGCCAGTCCTGGAGTCTGGGGAAGGAGGACTCTGTGTCGGAGGCAGAGANGAGCAGTTCACAATTAATTTTATTCCCATCAGATGTCACCAAAGTATCTTTTGTCCCCACCCCACAATCTCCTGGAGGGCAAACCCCCCACATCACCCCAAAAGCTAGTAAATTTCCCCTTTTATTTCCAGATTCAACCTTTTTTGGGGGGGGGGGGAGAATTGCAAATAGAGATAGACTGGCAGAGGTGCCGGATGCGGCCAATTTTAGGGGGAACCCAGAGAGGGAGACGCTTGGAACCCCCACCCCCCACCTCCCCAGGTCCTGAGCCCTTGCTCCTGTCCCCAGCTGGGGGGGGGGAAGAGGGAGGGAGAAACAGCCTTCCCAAGCCCCCTCCTCCGGGGGGGGGGCAGTTGTCCTACCTGCGTCTTGGGCCGCCTCGGGGGAGACCACCTGGTAGACTTTGTAAGGCTCCAGAGCCTCCAAGCGGCTTTTCTCGGGCACCTCTTTAAAATCGGGGCTTTTGTTGAGCGCGCAGCGGAGACGCGTCTTCCAGACGGAGGGGTCGGCTTCGTCCAGCCCTTCCCGGTACTTGCCCTTGTAGACTGCCCAGGCCTGCGGGAGGAGGGACGAGGGGGAGGAGAGGGCAGTCAGGAAGTCCAGAGCCAAGCCCACCCACCCGCTGCAACTGCTCTCCCCGCCCCCCGCCAGCCTGAGAAGGGCGCCCCCTGGATGCCCGGGGAGGTTTGAACCAGGCGGGGGTCCCGACCCCGACCCCGACCCCGTCGTACCTTGAAGAGCGCCGCGTCCTTCGGCTCGCGGTAGTCCTGCTTAGCGGCGTGTTTCCAAGGGATGCGGAAGACAGTTTTCTGCCGGTCCTCCCAGCGCAGTCCCGGATAGCGACCGCTCTCCACCTGGGCCAGCAGCCACTCCTTCAGCCGCATGGGCTGCGGCGCCTCCCCGGCCATGTGTGCGCCCTGCCTGCCCCCTTGCCCCGGGATCCCGGACGGGCCGAGCCGAAAGTGCCCCGCCGGACGAGCTGGAGAAGGCGCCACCAGGACCAGCCGCGTGGAAAGCGAAAGGCGGCCGGGTCACTTTCGCTTTCGTTTTCGCTCTCGCTTCCCGATTGCGCAGGGCGAGCGGAAGGCTCCGTCGAATCCCAGGGCTGGGGCGGAGACCTTGGAGGTCGTCTAGTCCAGCCCGCCCCGCGACTTCCCAAGGGGAGCGGTCCCACTCGCGGAGGAAGGCTTCTCACGGTCAGGAAATGCCTCCTTAGTTCCACGTGGATTCGTCTCCAGCGTTGATCCTGGCTTTCGTGGGCTTCACAGACAGACACACACACACACACACACCTTTGTAGCAGCCCCTCAAATATTGGAAGGCTGCTATCATGTCACCCTTAGTCCTTCTTTTTTCTAGATCCCTCCCTCCCTCTTTCTCTCTTTCTTTCTCCTCTTCTCTCTCCCTCTCTCCTTCCCTCCCTCCCTCTTTCTCCCTCCCCCCTCTCTCCTTCATTCCCTCTCTCCCTCTTTTTTCTCTTCCCTCTCTCCTTCCCCCCTCTTTCCCTCTCCCCATTCTCCCTCCCTTTCTTGCTCTCCCTCCCTGCCTCCCTCCCTCTTTCTCTCTCCCTTTTTCTCCTTCCCTCTCTCTTTCCCTTCCTGCCCCCTCTCCCTCCCTCTATCTATCATCAGTGGAACGACTTGCCTTTTGGAGTTGTGGGCATTCCATAACTCAAGAAGATGTTGGACAACCAACCAACCTTCCTTCCTTCCTTCCTTCCTTCCTTCCTTCCTTCCTTCCTTCCTAGCTACCTACCTACCTACCTACCTACCTACCTACCTACCTACTTACCTATCTATCAAATATCCATCTTTCTTTCTCCCTCCCTATCTATCTCTATTATCTATCATCCATCCAACTGTCTATCATCTATCTAGATAAATAAGATAGATAATTTTATATATATGTATGTGTGTGTGTGTGTGTGTGTGTGTGTGTGTGTGTTTTATTTGTGCTGATAAATAAATAAAGGGAGACTAGTATAGATCTATTTCAAGCTATTTAGCTCTCATCAGCTAGCCATACCCTTACTGGGATTCGAACCTGTGCTATACTAGTCTCCCTTTATTTATTTATCAGCACAAATAAAACACACACACACACACACACACACACACACACACAC